GAAGGGGACAATATCACTTTTGATGAATAAACTTGTATTTTGAATTTTTTGAATGAATTCCGGGAACTTTTTGATCAAGGTAGTGGCGGCAGTAGCACCAGCAAGTAGGCCGCTCGCACACACGGGCGCCGCGAAACAAAAACCAGGCGCAGCAAGTTTTCGCGCAAGCACTACGTGGGCCCCGTTTTCTCGCGAGTGCTTGCGTCGAGCATGCCGCGAGTAGCGCAACGCAACCCCCAGGGGGCGAAAGCGCAAAGCGTGTACTCACGCAAGAAATTCACCCCAACGAGGGATAAAAAGTCCGTCGCGACAACGGCCCGACGCTCACGGCGCTTCCGAGAGTCTATTGTGTTGTAACCAGAAAAACGCTCAGGCTATTCTCAGCACGAGAGAGAGAGAGTGTGTGTATCCCAGCAGACAAGCTGCAGCAAGTACCGAGGCTCGCAGAGGTGCCATTGTGACCGGACGAGGTATGAAATACGATTAAATCTTTGTTTGGCTTACTACTTGGTGTTTTCTGAGATATTGTTTAAGGTCGCCACTCCATTTAACCAACAACGGAGAAGGAAAAGCCGTCCCTCAGTCAATAGCGATGTCCCGGACTCGTGGTGCCTTGGATCCTCTCGTTCGCCCTGTAGAGACTCTGGCTGGGTTTTTTGTTAATAAATCACTCACTCACACGCTTGGTTAATGAATAAACTATAATATATTCAACAATTTCTATTGATTACATGAAATACGCGCACCAGGAACGCGATTTGTCGTGACGCGAATCTTATGTCGCTAAAACTCAATTTTTTGAATTAATTCTATAACTTGGTGAATTTTTGAATAAATATATTAAAATAAGGTGTCAGTAGACGTGTTACGCGCGTCCGCGGAGTCCTCGAATATAAAAACTGCAACTTATGTGCAAAGTAACGCGACGACACTGCGCGTCGAGACGTCCGTCCGGTTCGGGCGCTCGGGAGAGACTGATGGCTTCACCGCCCGCCTTCGACCGGGTCGGCCACCGAGCTACGTCATCCCCTCCCTTCGACTTCCGACCAATCTAAAATAGGTCGGATCGCTTCGTGCTTCGGCAGGAAGGAACTCAGTGCTTCATTTAATCGAAATCTCCTCTTGGTAATTTTTTTTTAAAAATTCAATTTTAGTCTGAAAATCGAGTTTTTCTCGATCAGCTGTTTTCTAAGTATGCTATATATATATGTGTCTGTTGGAGATTCCGAATAAATGTCCGGGTGAGATATTTACTCTCATTAAATTAACTTATAAGATATTAATACAAAATCAACCTGTTCAAAATACAAAATAAAATTATTATTAAAATATTATATCAAATCTGAGCATTTTTTATTCTTAATATTTTTATTTTAACTACTTTATGACATTTATATATCCTTCATGAAATTTCTTTATTTTCTCAAATTTGATACTTCGAGTAAACATCTTTTCTTAATAAATTAAATATTAATTTCTTTTCTTTCAGGTACTTTGGCAATTTCCCTGGTAATTCATCAATGACTCCGGCTTACAAGAGTTGCGGTTTTTCTTAATCTAATGATTATATAAGGTAAGTAAACTGATTAAATATAATAATTAATAAAATATAATGACCTTTCGTCACTACTTCGCATGCTACTTCACACGGTATACTCTATCCTATTCTCGCGTCCGCGTGAAGCTCTTTTTCTCGTATTACCGCCTCCTGTGTCCTGGGAGCTTCTAACGAGGCCCGAAAGCCCCGTTATTCGAATTTCTTCGAAATAACTCGGGTTTTCGCATCGCGACGACGCGAATAAATTCCTTTATGGAATTTAATTGTCATTGAGTGACAATTGGTGTTCTTCGACACCTTCTTTGATTTTAATCAAAGATTTTATTAGCATTACAGATTTTATTAACCCGTAATGCGGTTTTTTGACTCTTGAGCTTATTTAGCTCGTTACGAGTCCCGTTAGGCGCCACATAAGTTTTTTCTGTCCTTTTTGACAAATTAATAAAAAAAAAATATGATAAAAAATCAAGTTGGTCTATTTCTTCTTAAAGAATGTTTTTCTAATAAATAATTAAATTTTTTCAGTTTTTTATAGTTTTGATATAAGTTTGTTGTGGACGCTATCTAACGTTATAATACAAAAGTTTTTATTAATTGAGCTCTTATTTGCTCTAACGTGCTCTTATTGAGCTGGGACTATTTTTAAAGTGTAGTGATGCTTTGAAGCTATCAAAATAAATTTGAATTAGTTTGAAATAATTAATATTGTTTGAGATCGAGCTAATCTCTTACTTACGCTGAGCTCTTAGTTCTGCTCTTTCTTGCGTGTTATGTTTATTGGCTTTTTACGCCCCTGAAATTTGTGTTAATGCTCTTGAATAAATGTTTTATGCTTATGTATAAAAGGTTTTTTATTAAAATATAATTTTTGTTCTTATGACTATCTTATCATCTAGGTATATAATATTAATAATAAAATGTTTTTATTTTCGGGGTGAATTTATATCTTTGGGAGGGCTCTTCTTGTTGTCCGCTCCTTCAGGTAGGTCGTCTTGTCGAACCTCCTTGTTATGGCCTGCTGGCTTCCCCGATGTCGGCATCCCTTCGGCGTGGCTCTGAGAATGTTAATTAGTTTTGTTTCAGTTTCGGAAAATTGAGGCGATTGGAATCGTCCTCAGCTTGTCTGAGTGGCGGTTGCAGTATGAGGCAAGGTTATGCGATTTCCTCGATTATCGCCATCCACGGGCAGCGACGGGGAACTGGCGGCTGCACAGGCTGGATATATCCCCGAGGCGCCTTCGACTGACATTGCCGCCAGGAGTGACGCTCGACGAGAGGGATAGCGTTGAGTAGCAGTTTTGAATACAAAAAAGAAACTTCGTAATTAGTAGTAGTAGTATATTGATACCTACATAATGCCACTGACATGAAGAGGATAATTAAAAAACGATTTACGAAGAAATTATAATTATCTTGTTTTATGGAACAGTCATTTTTCTTTCAATAACATATCAGGTGGCGTTGTTCAGGCGGTTCAGACGCAAATGTAATTAAATATTAAAGACTGTTCACGTATAATGTGTACACTTTTTTGGCGCGGTCCTGATCAATGGCGGTATTCCGGCGGAACATTCACTTTCTGAGCGAAAAGGTTAATAAAAATGTTTTCATTAATTATAATGATAGCATACTTTCTTTCAGATGTATTCCACAGTTTTATCTGCTACAATAGTTCTTACGACGCAGGTATATAACACCTTCTATTCTCACAGCAACGCATGACAAATTTGGTTTGATATGAACAAGACGCGCGTAAATATATACACATATAATTAAATGCACTTTATTTAAACCAAAATTTCGGATCTTCTAATAATAATCAGAAAGAATTTCTAGTTGTTATGACAAGATTCGAGATTTTACAACTAGAACTGTATTATAAGTATTATACAGGGTGAGGCAAAAGTATGGAAACCCCCGAATAACTTCTGACGAGGGCATTTTACGAAAAAATTTTAAATACAAAAGTTTTAGGAAATTTCTCAGGCTTTTCAGTGGTGACCTTGAATTTGACCTTGATCGTGACCTTGAAGGTCATATGAAGGTCAAGTTCATTTTTTT